TTTATTTTTGGGACAGAGAGAGACAGAGCATGAACGGGGGACGGTAGAGTAGCAGTTTTGAATGACATTGATCTCACAATTATCAGAAACTTCCTTTCAAGGCAACATCTATTTTGTTTTTTGGTTTTATCACAAAAGTGGGTGCCTGTTTGCCAAATTTGGTAAAGACAGGTAAGTAACTGGAAGAAAATGTAAACCATTAAAAATCCTACCACCTAGAGATAAATGCTGTTAACATTTTGGGGTACTGTATATTCGTTTATACATAATAACTATACACATTGAACTTCACATTGTTTTATAATGTTCTTTTCTCGCATGACAATAGATCATTTCAGGTCATTTGTGGAATACCACTTATACACTAAGCATAATTGATAACTTTAATTGAAATATTATGTGTTAAGCATCTTGATAGAAGATCTCTAGAGCTGGTATAGACCTTGGTCTCTAGGTCTCCCTAGGCCAGTGATTAGGACAAATAGCTTGTTGCAAATCGACAGGGTGCTGTAGATAAGGTATTGTGCTAAGGGTTATAATATTCATTGACTAAATGATTTCACATTCAGGCCTGCAATTTACCTAGGAACCATTCTTTCAACCAATCATTTGTTAAAAAATCAACTATGTGCCAGATATCATATCAAGTCCTACACATATGTGGAGTAAAAACAGTCTCTGCTCTAATGCAATTGCAGTCTGATAAGGTATCTAAGCGTGTACCATAAAGTAGAAAATGACAGGTACAGGAGATGTGCTGTGGTGACTCAGAAAAGGTACCTCTTACTTCAGTGGGTATTTAGGACGGTTTATGAGAACTGGACTTTGAGTCAGGCCCTGAAGGATGAGTAGAATTTAGACATGTGAGATTGAGTTTGAAAAAGCACAGATACAGACAGTGTGGAAAAATTAAATTAACCAGTAAATAGTTTGGTGGGTTGAGAACACAGAGTTCCTGGAACATAGTATTAGGGAAAAAAATTAACAAGTTTGTGACATTTTTAGTAATGCTATTTCAATTTCTTTTCCTTTTAAGGTAAGGTCTGTGGAGATAAATTGCCTTCACCATTGCTGACTGAGACCAGTGAGGCCACAGTTACATTTGTTTCTGATCCAGAAAACGGTGGCAGCAGCTTTGAGCTTACATTTACTGCTGTTCAGAAGCACTCAGAAGCTGGTATCTCAGATATTTAATTCCCTGATGTTTTTATCTGATATGGGGATAAGGAAGAGGGAATGCCTTTGGCCATTCACTTTGGATTTCCCTGACACTTCAACAGGTTCAGGCTGTGGGAGTGTAGCTGTATTGGTGGAAGAAGGGATGATTCACTCTGCCAGTTATCCTGACTCGTATCCCATGAATGTAAAGTGTCATTGGTTCATTCGTGCTCCGGAGAAACACATTATAAAGGTAAGCAGCTAAGGAAGATCTTTACTTCATTGAGAGCTTAGCTGTGTTGGTTAGGCAGAACTTGCTTCATCCTGGCTATGAAACTGCCATTATAACTAGGAGCTTCAGTTTGCTGCCATATATAAATATGTCAACCTACATCTGGATCTATAAATGTGCTTTGAAAAGTTTGAGCAGTTTAAGAGAATACATCAAAAAGTAGGCCTCCTTCTCATCTAACACCCATCATACCTCCTAATGGCAAGTGAACACTAGAGTGTCCCTAGGGAGATCTTCTGAGCATTTAGAAACATGCATATATTTACATTGCTTAGCAATGCTTTTTCTCCTTAAAAATATCTCAAAGATCTTTCCAAATGAGTCCACAGAGCACTTTTCATTAACTGCATACATTACATTGTGTGATATTCCATAATTTCTTTCTTTTTAATTTTTTTAATGTTTGTTTATTTTTGAGAGAGACAGACCACAAGTGGGGAAGGAGCAGAGAGACAGGGAGACACAGAATTGGAAGCAGGCTCCAGGCTCTGAGCTGTCAGCACAGAGCCCGACACGGGGCTCGAACTCACAAAGCATGAGATCATGACCTGAGCTGAAGCCGGACACTCAACCAGCTGAGCCACCCAGGGGCCCCGATATTCCATAATTTAAGTCAGTTCCCAATAATATACACTTAGTGGGTTTCCAGTCTTTGCCCTTACCAGCAGTGCTAGTACATTCTTGTGTCCATGTATTTGGGCACATGTGGATGTATGTGATTCCCAGGAGTGGACTTTCTGTGTCAAAGGATTTGTGCATTTAAACCTCATAGTCATTGCCAAATTGCTCTCCAAAGAGGCTGGAATTACTTACACTTCTATCAGTAGAATAGGAGGGGTAACTGCCAGCCTTTTCATGTTCAGAGGGAAGCTTTTAAAGTTCATCTCTTCTCTTCCTTGACCATTTCTCTGGTTATGTTTCTAATTTGCACAGTTGGAATTTGAGGACTTTATCACTGAATTTAGCCCAAACTGTATTTATGATGCTGTTGTGATTTATGGTGATCCTGAAGAGGAGCACGAGTTAGGTGGGTAACATTCCATCTGTAAAGAACAAGAGTAGTTGTAACACTGACTGGCCTCCTTGGGTGACACAAAGTTGAATGAGAATAAGGATTTCTTATTCTGGAAACTCACGTGTCAAAAAACTTTAGCTTTAACTGATGAGCCAACAATGGATTCACCAGAAGATTAAAAAAAATTTTTTTTTTTTTTAAATTTTTTTTCAACGTTTTTTATTTATTTTTGGGACAGAGAGAGACAGAGCATGAACGGGGGAGGGGCAGAGAGAGAGGGAGACACAGAATCGGAAACAGGCTCCAGGCTCTGAGCCATCAGCCCAGAGCCCGATGCGGGGCTCGAACTCACAGACCGCGAGATCGTGACCTGGCTGAAGTCGGACGCTCAACCGACTGCGCCACCCAGGCGCCCCCAAAAAAATTTTTTTTAATGTTTATTCATTTTTGAGAAAGAGAAGGAGCATGAGACGGGGGAGGGGCAGAGAGAGAGGGAGACACAGAATCCCAAGCTGTCAGCTCAGAGCCTGACACCAGGCTCGAACCCACAAGGTCTGAGATCAGGTATGAGATCATGACCTGAGCCAAAGTTGGATGCTAAACCGACTGAGCTACCCAGATGCTGCCCCACCAGTAAAATTTTTTTTAAATGTTTATTTATTTTTGAAAGAGAGAGAGAGAGAGACAGCATACAAGTGGGGGAAGGGCAGAGAGAGAAGGAGACACAGAATCCAAAGCAGGTTCCAGGCTCTGAGCTGTCAGCACAGAGCCCAACGTGGGGCTTGAACCCGCAAGATGTGAGATCGTGACCTGAGCTGAAGTCAGACACTTAACCGACTGAACCACCCAGGCACCCCTCACCAGTAAGATTTTTAATAGAAACATGTAAAATTTGGAGAATGTTTCAGAATATTTGGAAGGTGAATGTGAAGTCCCAGGGAAAAAGGAAATAGTAACATTGAATACATTTTTGGCAGTTACTGAAGGTAATTTTTTCAATTCCTTTTTGTATTAAAAAGTAACCAAAAAAAGTAACTGAAAAGTATAGTAACCAAAAGTAACCAAAGTAACCAAAACTATAGTTTCTACTTGAATCTTAAAAGTTAATTTTTGGAACTAGAACTTCAAATATACTTTCCATTTTGACCTACCAATTTACTTAGTATAAGAAGTTATCTCTTCCAGCTGTGCAGCCACTCCCTTAATATACCTATTATTTGTCCCTTAGATGTCAGTGTGGGTCTGAGACCCAGGAATATAGGTGGGTTGGGAATGTTTGGATATTCAGGGCAGCTGAGTGGAGGCACAATCCCCCCTCATCCAGCTGAATAGGATCTGTATAGAGTGGGCTTCAAGTGAAGCAGTTTTCAGGTGTTACTTACATAAAGCATAGCCAACTTCCCTTTGAAAGGAGGATACAAAGTTTGGGATTTTCTTTAACTCGCCCCTTCCCACTGTGTACATTAAAAGTCAATTGACATTTCTATGCATGCTAAAAATCAGATGTCTTTTCTCTATCTGTAGAGTGTTTTTCTATGAGATAAAATTACAACACATAGTTATCTTGAAACTAGTGTTTCACTCCCACATACAATGGAAAAGTGTGCCTACAAACCAAAGTTGAAGAAAACCAGAATTGCTGGGAAAAAATTAGATAATGTTTTACCTCTGTTTTCTGACTTAAAAAATTTTGTAACTGTAAATCAAACTTTCCTAAAACTTTTACAGCTAAACTTTGTGGGATCTTAAACCCTACTCCAATATTCAGTCCTCATAATATGCTGCTGATTCATTTTAAAAGTGATGGTGAAAATAACTTCCGAGGCTTCAAGGCTAGTTTCACCTTTTTGCTCTCAGGTGAGGATAAGCACTAGCACAGTAATTATTTTTGCTTGTGAAAATAGTTATACGGAAGATCACTTAGGCATGTTTACCTGAATTTAGGGTGCTTGAAACACCTTGGTGACAAAATATAAATGCAGATTCCTGGGACTCCTGGGTGGCTCAGTTGGTTATGCATCTGACTCTTGATCTTAGCTCAGGTCTTGATCTCAGGGTCATGGGCATGGAGCCTACTTTAAAAAACATTTTTTTAAATGTTTATTTATATGAGAGAAAGAGAGTGGCAGAGTGTAAGCAGGAGAGGGTAAGAGAGAGAGGGAGACACAGAATCCAAAGGAGGCTCCAGGCTCTAAGCTATCAACACAGAGCCCAGCGCAGGGCTTGAACTCACAGACCGCGAGATCATGACCTGAACCAAAATCGGACGCTCAACCTACTGAGCCACCCAGGTGCCCCAAAACATGCAGATTTCTGGGGCATCTGGGTGGCTCAGTTGGTTGAGCATCTGACTTCAGCTCAGGTCATGATCTCACAGTTCATAGGTTCCAGCTCTGCATCGGGCTCTGTGCTGACAGCTCAGAGCCTGGAGCCTTCTTCAGGTTCTGTGTCTCCCTCTCTCTTTGCCCCACCCCTGCTCACTCTCTGTTTCTCTCTCGAAATTAAATAAACATTAAAAAAATTTTAACTGCAGATTCCTGTGCCCACTCCTGAAGATTTAGGTTCTGTAGATCTGTGATGGGGCCCTGGAATCTGTGCTTTAACAAGAACCTCTGGTGAAGCTAAGAAACTACATCCACTCAATGATCAAAAAACACTTTAAGCACCTTATATCAAAAGTAGATAATTTAGATTAGAGAATGCAATTCAGAAATGAGATTGACTGTCTCTGTTTTGGGACATTTCAGGGTTTTGAAGGATTTATAGTTTTCTAGCCATTCTAGAAAATAAAGCAGCCTTTACTGAGATGGAAGGAATATCATTCCTTAAAGACCCTAGTGTGGAAAAGAATGGGTGATGTACAAAAAACTACAAATAATTTGGCAGTGTTCAAGTTTTGGAATGTTAGAAGAGGCAAGAGTCGTATCATGATGGATTCAGGGCATTCAGTTTTAGGTACCAGAGTGATAGGATAGCCAGCTAACATTTGTTGATTACTTGCTTTGTACCAAGTATAGACTAAACATTTCACATGCATTACCACATTTATTCCTCCTTACAAACCTAAGAGGTTTATACAATGCTCTCCTTTTCACAGATGAAGGAAGAAAGTTCAGAGAGGTTAAGTAGCTTTCCCAAAGATGCATAACTGCCAAGAGGTGGAGCCAGAACTCAAACGTTGGTAGTAATGTGGAAGATAGAGACAAAGATTAGGCAGAGATTAGTGAATTTACAAGGAGAGTAGTGAATAAATCATTGTAAGAATTTATTTTAGGTGTAGTCCTTGATCAAATATGTTGTGGCAAAGGTGATATATAAAGTAGAAAAATTCCAGCATGATTCTGAGGACTCTGGCTTGAGTGGCTAGGTGGATGGTAGAGCCACTAAATGATACAGAGAAACATAAGACCGTGTTGACTCTTGAAATCAATTGGTTTCATTTGAGACAAGTGGATTTGTATGAGCTTGTGGGAGATCCAGATGAATATAGCTAGCATATTCTACATCTAGAATTCAGAAAAGAGACTTAAGAGAGAAATGTGGAAGTCATATATATGCAAATGAATAGTAATAGGGTTATGAATTGTACCTTGTGGAATATCTTGCAGGCTGGAGGATAGGATCTTGAAAAAAAGACTGAGATTGAGAAGAGATGGTCGTAGATTTTTTGAGAAAATCAAGAGAGTAATTTAATGGAGCCAAAGAAGGAAGAAATGCTTAAAAGGGTCAGATACACTAGGAATTTAAGAAAAATATAACCAATCACATCTATGGGATCTGGCATTTAGCACTGGAAAGATTGCAGTAGTGAAATCAACATTAGAGTGGTTTTATGATTGACCAGGTAAGCAAGCAGGGTCAGCTAGTGTACACGACTTTAAATATTTTCAATTAAAAAAATGTTTTCTCTGTAGACTCTTCAAACCAAGTTGGATCAACATCACCTCCCCAAACCAATCTTGTATCTTCTGCAAAACTTATTCCATATGGTGAGTTGATGGTCACGTAGTTACTACCTGTTTAATCTTTCTTCTTTGGAAAGCCTCATTTTACATTTATATAACTCTACAATGAAGAAGAATGAGTTTTATATTTAGGTCCATGAAACTTCCAGAATTTTGTTTGGGTTTGCATATACACATATAAATAGAGGGAAGAAGAAATAAGCTTTATGATTAGAAGAAAAGGGTGCAGAGAGTAATTCTTTGTCCTCATTTGCACCTGTGCAAACTTGATATTTAAAATATCTTCCTAGAATCCATATTTAATATATGATTATGCATTTTGAGGCAAAGGGAGAAAACAAAGTTTTTTGTTTTGTTTCATTTTAGCACACACTGGCAACTTTGAACTTACTTGTAATCTGAAGTATCTGGTCAAAAATTATGATCTTTCATTGTTCTATATGCATGTATTCAATATGGCCTAGATGGGCTATGATAGGAAGTTGTACAGGGAGCTGTAATAGGAGAAAATGCCACGAGAGAGAGAAGAAACAAGGATATGTATGAAGAACTTTATATGCTCGGTTAACAACAACAACAACAACAACAAAAATAACCCATCCCAGTAGAATGTAAGTTCCATGACAGCCAAGACTTTTGTCTATTCTATTCACTGATAGATCAGCGACACCTAAAACATCACTATCGAGAACATTGCCTGGCAGTACCAACCACTAAAATTATTTATTGAATGAATGAGTAAATATTACTCTGTAGGCCAGTAACCAAAAACCTAATTGCTTAGCAGAGTTACCAAGGCAAGCTTTTAAAATCAGATTCCTCAGAGGTGGATGTTAGGGAGTTGATATCTCTATAAAGCTCATCTGATATTTGGAAATTACTACCATCAGCTATTGGAGGAGGTGTATGTTCTTTCTTATTTCAGTTGGATAGGTCATTAATTTCATCCTCTCTGCTATAGGTATCTGTGGCATCCCTCCATTTAGTCTCCAGTGGCTTTCCAGAAGAACTGTAGTGGGGGAGGAAGCCTGTCCCCACTGTTGGCCATGGCAGGTGGGTGTGAGGTTTCAAGGCAGTCACCAGTGTGGAGGTGCCATCCTCAACCCAACCTGGATTCTCACTGCAGCCCATTGTGTGCAATCGTGAGTGAAACTGATGATATTTTAATAACGTACTTAGCATGTATTTATGGCCATGCCTAGGGTAGAAGTATAATTATTGAATAAAGTCATCCAGGCTAATTCTAAAGCAGGAATCTTTCAACGACTTTCTATACAGCCGTTTCCTCTACTTAAACAATATCAGTGAGGAAAATGTTGATCAAATCTTGAAATTGCTCATCTCATTTATGGCAATCTCTGATTATTATGTTGAGCACACGTCTGTTTCTCTTTAGCAGAAACCTATTCGTCTAAATTTACTGGAGCTCTCGAAAACAAAAACTTAGTCTGCTTCTTCTTTCACATAACAGTGTTCCCTATACTTGAAGATCTCTCTCACATTGCCCCTTAATTTCATCTTTAAGCTAGGGCTCATCATTCTGTTGTTTGTCAGTAATTCCAGATACCTTGCCATGTGGTACAACTTCCTCTGGATTGATTTAGTGTTGTTTTTCTTAAAATATGGTCCAAATAGTGGAGAGCACAGTAGGATAATCTACCACGTTGGTCACTGGACTACCAATGAACTAAAATTTTGCTTAACATTTTCAGGGTTTTTAAATTGTGAATTATGCCATGATATGAAAAACTTCACATGACACATATGTGGTCTAAAGAATAGTAAATGTACATATGTGTCCTTGCCACCCAGTTTAGGAAGACTCTTTACACTTCTTAAGACCCCCTAGGACCCCTGCCAAGAGGAAGACACTATGCTAAATTTTGTATTTATGATACTGATGGGTTTTTTTTTAATTTTAACATCTGTGAATCCCTAAAACTAGTACATTGTTTGGTTTTTCTTGGTTTTGATAATGTAAAAGAATTGTAGTTTCTATTTTACTGTGAATTGCTCTTATCTTAATGGTATATAGATAAGCTAGGTGCCTTTGTATAACTGTAATTAATTCATTTTCCTTCCAAACTAAAGTCACTTGTTGGTGACTTCTAGACATGGGTAGTTTTTTTTTTTTTTTTTT